CAAACACACACAATATAATCGAATAGTGTCACCTCCTTTCACTATGATTTCAACCCACCCGACTTTTGTCACTCTCCTGTCACAATGATATCAATCCCACCGACTATTGTCACCCTCCTGTCACAATGATATCAATCCCAACGGCTATTGTCACCCTTCTGTCACAATGATATCAACCCCACCGACGTTTGTCATATTCCTGCAACATACAGTAGATCAATCCTGCACAGCTATTGTCACCTGCCAGTCACATGGACCAATCCAACTCCCTTGTCACAAATATCAATCCTACTGCCTATTGCTAACCTGCTGTCCTAAACAAAACAAGAACACTAGCACATCATAGCTTAGTGATTACTAGCTGTTGAATGTATTGAAAAGGACTGGGAAACTCTTTCCAGCGCGGGTGGGAGGTGGTAGAAGGCCTATAATTTGACCTGGCGAGGTCAAAGCATCCTCAAAACTCCAGGGTTGACGTTCACTTGCGCTCTCTGTACCCCTGGAATATGTCAAAGCAAAATTGAAGGCACGCGGCTAGCAATTTGATTGGTCTCAGGTAGAAAAAAATTCTGACCAATCGATAGGCAGATACCTGGGCATTTGTAGATTACAAATTTCATGTTTATTGGTTTCCTCAGATACATTACAATGTACAAAATGGAGTACAGAGATGCGACACCCAACTACAAAGTCAGTCAATTTTACCGTTACGCGACCGAGCAATTCTTTTAATGTACATCAAAGTATCAAACTAGTCTTCTCGTCTCATCTATAAGGTGACGCACACTGAGCCTTCAATTTTGTCATGACAAATTCCAGGGTCACAGAGAGCGTAAGTGAGCCTAACCCCTGGAATATCGCAGATGGGGGGTGGGGAGGGGGTAAAGTAACCATTGTTGTACGTTTTGACAGACAGCAGGTTGTACAATTACAAATTACAGTTGAAGGAGGAGAACATTTAGACATTTTAGCCTGTGTGGAAAATGTAATGAGCGAAATTCAATCTTGTATGTGATTTTTCAAATTTATTTATTGGAATGCATGAACAGTGTGATAACTCTGAGGGTAACAACACCAATGTCAATGTATGGCTAAATGACAAATGACATCACGTCATTATACAATGTAACTTATAATCTGAGCGCGCTTTCATTCTCGGACTTCAATCAAATAAAAAATACGGATTATTTTAATATATGCATGTTATTCTATTAATTAATATGTGCTTTATAACTTACATGTACATATCATCGTTGATATTAAGGTAGCAGATGGTACTTATACGGGTAGCGTTATTTTATCACATTTTTCTTTCACTTCTTAACCGGTATCTTTACGTTCAACTCGATCATTGTCAAAATTGGTTACACTTGTCATATACAAACCGTGACCATATGAATGTCAAATAAATAGGCTTTACATATGTCTATTTTCATTCCGATAGCTCTGAAAGCACGTGTTTTACAAAGCCGGCCGTGTGCCACAAACGTCAAACCAGTAACGAAATGACGTTAAAAGTGTGTTACACTGTTGTGCGTCAACATCTGACGTTACGTCACAGCAAATTGTAGAGAAATGTGGTGTCTCTACACGGGATGAAAAAAGACCGCACCAAGGCGAAGCTGACTGAGTCATGCAGGAGGTGGCAGATTCGGATCAGGAGGGTCCGAATTATTCTGACGTTTTATCGACTTTTTTTTACATCAGCGTGTCGTCAGTTAACGTCAGAACTCCGGCCCTCTACAATATGCGGGAAATAAGCGACCCGCGCCTGTGTCGCTCTTCAAACTGACATTTTAGAAACAAATCGTCACTTTCACAACTTCGATTTTGTCATGACACATATTTATTACATTTTTGTCAGTGAAATGTGACAAATATCAAAAGTGGTATTGACCAATCATAACGGTTTCCTCTATTCGCTGCATTCAAAGGCAACGATTTTTTGTTCAGATTCAAATGAAGCGACGGTAGAAAAGTGGTTGTTAAGGTAAATATTTGGTACACAAACTTAAGTATTTACATAAATATACAATTAATAACATTATTATAAGCAATCATACCAGGAAATAGTAGAAAACGTCGGAATTGCGTTGAGAAAATCATTCAAAATGGCGTGCAGCCTTGTTGTCGAGCGTGACGTCATTAGAATATGGCGCTAATTATTACGCTTCTGATTTCCGCCCTTTTTTTAATGCGTAACATTTTTTCATGTTTTATGCTTTAAAAATGTAACAAATAGAAAATGTAATGGTGTCTTCAGTAATAACAAATATATTTCATTCGTGTTGCTAATATTTTGATATTTTTTTTTACTTACTTGCCCCGCGCACTCGTGAAAAAATATCACTATATTAGCCACACTCGTGAAATATATTTGTTATTACTGACGACACCATTAAATATCCTCTATACATTCCACAGATTACAGAAACTATGTGTATATCGAAATCGCAGTCCTACGAGACTATAGACAACGAGGACAGCTTACCAATGGCGTGTCCACACGGCATTTTTGCACGCTTGTTGTCCGGATCATCATCCCATGTGATCATATCGGGGGCGTCACTCAGCTCTACGTCATCGTCCAGAGCTTTAGGTGGTTCCGGGTCATTGCCTCCCGGAAGTCTAGCCACCACACACAGCATGCTGCGGTCCTGTAGTCTGTAGTCCGAAATGTACTTTTTCTTCCCGTTTTTCTCGGTGTCCAAAAACTTGCCTAGTAAAGATATATATATATATATATATATATATATATACCTATTTAATACACTCACGCGCACCGTAACAATAGAGTGTGTATTGTTACTGTAAGATTACCTCACAATTCACATGTTTTACATTGGTGATGATTATACTAGGGTAAACTACACTTATGAAATGTAATACATACATGTGTACTGGTGATATGGAAGCATGGACAACTACACAAACCAAAAGTATGTTAGTTATAAGGAACACTTAACACGTGTATGTTAATAATAGTTATCAGTAAACAACACTACACGTGTGTGTTAATAATAGTTCTCAGTAAAGAACACTTCACGTGTGTTAATAATAGTTATCAGTAAAGAACACTTCACGTGTGTTAATAATAGTTATCAGTAAAGAAAAACGCGTGTGTTAGTAATAGTTAAGTAGAGAACACTACACGTGTGTGTTGGTAATAGTTAAGTAGAGAACACTACACGTGTGTGTTGGTAATAGTTAAGTAAAGAACACTACACGTGTGTGTTGGTAATAGTTAAGTAAAGAACACTACACGTGTGTGTTGGTAATAGTTAAAGTAAAGAACACTACACGTGTGTGTTGATAATATTCAAGTAAAGAACACTACACGTGTGTGTTGATAATAGTTAAAGTAAAGAACACTACACGTGTGTGTTGATAATAGTTAAATAGAGAACACTACACGTGTGTGTTGATAATAGTTAAGTAAATAACACTACACGTGTGTGTTTATAATAGTTAAGTAAAGAACACTTCACGTGTGTGTTGGTAATAGTTAAGTAGAGAACACTACACGTGTGTGTTCGTCATAGTTAAGTAAAGAACACTACACGCGTGTGTTGGTAATAGTTAAGTAGAGAACACTACACGTGTGTTTTGATAATAGTAAAGAAAAGAACATACACGTGTGTGTTGGTAATAGCTAAGTAAAGAACACTACACGTGTGGGTTGGTAATAGTTAAGTAAATAACACTACACGTGTGTGTTGGGAATAGTTAAGTAAAGAACACTGCACGTGTGTGTTGGTAATAGTTAAGTAGAGAACACTACACGTGTGTGTTGGTAATAGTTAAGTAAAGAACACTATACGTGTGTGTTGGTAATAGTTAAGTAAAGAACACTATATATGTGTGTTGGTAATAGTTAAGTAAAGAACACTACACGTGTGTGTTGGAAATAGTTAAGTAAAGAACACTACACGTGTGCGTTGGTAATAGTTAAGTAGAGAACACTACACGTGTGTGTTGATAATATTCAAGTAAAGAACACTACACGTGTGTGTTGATAACAGTTAAGTAAAGAACACTACACGTGTGCGTTGGTAATAGTTAAGTAGAGAACACTACACGTGTGGGCTGCTAATAATTAAGTAAAGAACACTACACGTGTGTGGTGGTAATAGTTAAGTAAAGAACACTATACGTGTGTGTTTGTAATAGTTAAGTAAAGAACACTATATATGTGTGTTGGTAATAGTTAAGTAAAGATCACTACACGCGTGTGTTGGTAATAGTTAAGTAAAGAACACTACACGGGTGTGTTGGTAATAGTTAAGTAGAGAACACTACACGTGTGGGCTGCTAATAATTAAGTAAAGAACACTACACGTGTGTGGTGGTAATAGTTAAGTAAAGAACACTATACGTGTGTGTTGGTAATAGACTATTACCAACACACACGTGTAGTGTTATTTACTTAACTATTACCAACACACACGTGTAGTGATCTTTACTTAACTATTACCAACACACATATATAGTGTGTGTTGGTAATAGTTAAGTAAAGATCACTACACGTGTGTGTTGGTAATAGTTAAGTAGAGAACACTATATATTTGAAAGGTAACAGACGTGCTTGCATTAGTGACAGAAGATATAATATTGGATTGCTATGTCAGCATTCGACTCGGCTCCTAGGGGCGTGGGAAAGCGACAGTAGGCCGACATGCATATGGGCAATAAGAATTTGTGGTAATACTTCGGAATTCTTGCTTTAGTTATAATCGTCCTATGTACGTACCGGCAAAATGGATTCTCTGACTTTTAGGATCAATGCCAATTGAATCCGTGATCCTTCTCATCAGATCCTCCACAGAAGCGTCCTTCAACATATAAGGGGACGAATTGTTTCTAGGGTATTTCAGAAGGTACCATCACTAATGAAAATGGCCATAATATTTATTGACAAAAGTACGTTTGATTATTAGTCAATTTTAGCTTTTTCTTGTAGAGATAGATAACCCATTATGATTTTGATGATATTTGAAATAAAGATACTGATCAAGGAGGGTTTCTCAGGAAACAGTACAAAAAATGAACAATTTCACGCAAATAATGAAGATTTTAAATATATGAGCAGTACATGTTAAAACATTTATATTTCTCCATCTTTATACTAAACTGCATGTCTATAAGTTGTGTAAATGTTAAATACAGACCTGCTCATCAGTTAAAACTAATATAATACGAAATGTTCCGACAATTTACACCATTTGGGATATTTGAATGTGATTAAGAGTACCTTGCAATTTGTAAGTGACGAATGGTAACATAATTATAATATAATGTTATATAATATGATATGGGTAAAATCAATTTAAACAGTGTAGACAATATTTCGGAGCAGTTCGATCCTTTATCGAAACGTAGGAAAAACACAGAACACTTACATTTCATAAAAACAATATAAAAAATATCATAATTTATGTAGTTAATATATGAAAACAATAAGACCCTCGGCTAGCGTAAGCCGAAAGTACATTTACGCTGACCACATAGTTAAATAACAGAGAGAACTCTTTGTTGTTCATGTATATATAAAAAAAACAGGGGAAATAACTATGAACGAGAGTTTATCTGTAGTGGGATAAGAACCCGTGTGCTACAGTGTGCTAGATTCTAATGGACTACAGTGGCGGATCCAGAGTTGTTGTTTTTTTGGGCTTCATGAAACCTCCCCACCCTGAGAATTTTCTTTAAAAATCATGTATTTTCACCATTTTCCTCAATTCCCCCCCNTTGGAACACACACACACACACACACACACACACCCCGGAAGGTCTCTGGATCCGCCACTGGATTAGAGTATTGTGCAGTGCACTTACCTTGTGGAGCGAAAACATATTGGTAGTAAGGTCTGAGGTGACGAACAGTTGTAGGGAATTCGCCATCACAGTAGCTTGGTTTGTTTCCCAATACCGAAAGTCGGCATGTATATGAGTTTACAGAAAATGAGAAAACGAAAGTAAAACCAGCATGACATCAGCTATAATAAATATACACTACGCAAAGTGAAACTAGGGAATACCACACGAGGTCTGACGTAACTTAAGTAACCATTTACAATGAAACAAATCATATGTTACTATATATAGCATTATTGGAACTTCTCAAACGTAATTTACCAAAGGTACTGTACATTTGTCCTAACAATCATTTATCATCCGGCCGCTGAATCAGAACGGTTCGTTAAATGCATAAGTTGTTTCTGGATAGACCGGAAAGATTGTCAGAACCTACCTTAACATTTCAAGATCATGCAAGAAATGCCTTGGGAATTTTTCAGTAAAAAGCACACCAGCATATTGTTCCCCGTAAAACTGCAGGCCACTTGGGTGTATTGTCTTCAAGTATTAAGAACGTTTTACTGTAAAATTCGAACACAAAAATGGCGTCCGAACATATGACTGTAGCAATGTTTAACAGTAAATAAATAGATACTAGTAGGTTTAAACGGTAAAGTGTAACAAATTCGTTGTTTTGTTTTAAATCATACCGTGTATTTCGTGTTAATCCGTGATCAATCTTCTGGGAGTGACCACACACTAATGCAATCAAAAATGAAGTAAACGGATATGATTACAAGACAGTCTTAAACTGTATTAGGCTATCTGTTTAACTAGTCGGTAATTTGATTGTTGAAGACAAATACCTCACCTACTGTAAGTATACTTACACGTTGGATATAAAGGGAAGGTCTCGACAGTTATTTATCTGTCTGTTCGGATTAGTATGTTGAAAACCAAGGAAAAGCCCCGACTATTATTTGACATTTTCAGTCAGTCACGTGTTCATCAGAAAGAGTTGCTGGTCTGGTCACGTCATGTGTTCATTAGAAAGAGTTGCTAACCTTGCCACGTCATGTGTTCATCATAAAGAGAGGATATGCTAGTCATTTTATGTGTTAATCAGAAAGAGTTACTAACCTGGTCACGTCACGTGTTCATCAGAAAGAGTCGCTGGTCTGGTCACGTCACGTGTTCATCAGAAAGAGTCGCTGGTCTGGTCACGTCATGTGTTCATCATAAAGAGTGGATATGCTAATCATTTTATGTGTTAATCAGAAAGAGTTACTAACCTGGTCATTTCACGTGTTCATCAGAAAGAGTCGCTGTTCTGGTCACGTCACGTGTTCATCAGAAAGAGTTGCTGGTCTGGTCACGTCACGTGTTCATCAGAAAGAGTTGCTAACCTTATCATGTCATGTGTTCATCAGAAAGAGTCGCTGTCCTAATAATTTTATGTGTTCATCAGAAAGAGTCGCTGTCCTGGTCATGTCTTGTGTTCATCAGAAAGAGTTGCTAACCTTATCATGTCATGTGTTCATCAGAAAGAGTCGCTGTCCTAATAATTTTATGTGTTCATCAGAAAGAGTCGCTGGTCTGGTCATGTCTTGTGTTCATCAGAAAGAGTCGCTAAGCTTATCATGTCCTGTGTTCATCAGAAAGAGTGGTTATGCTAGTCATAAAGAGTTGTTATCCTTGTCAATTCATGTGTTCATCAGAAAGAGTTGCTAACCTAGTCATTTCATGTGTTCATCAGAAAGAGTTGCTTGTTAGGTTGTGTCTATTGTTCGGATAGAGTTGCATACCCATTGTTTGGACAGATCGCTTGCCAGGTCATATCTAGTGTTCAGAAAAGGTCACTTGCCTGGTCAATCCCAGTATTTAGAAAAAGCTATTTGCTCGATTTCGGAAGTACCATTTATTAATGTGTGCAGTTGAAAACATGATATTTAAGGCATGTATACATCTCAATGTCAGTTACAACACCATGTGTATTTACAATGGACTTAGAATAATAAATAATGCAACATTCATCGACTAACAAGCCATTCGGATTAATATGTCTCACCTGTGCCCCGCTTTGATCATCAATGCACATATCAGAAAAACTATCTTAAACGCAAGTTTGGTTGGTATAGCACTTATACATTCAGAGAAACTAACTTAAACGCAAACACTTAATGCTGATTGAGTTGCTGACAAAGTCAATGAACCATGAAAGGTAGGACGCATCTAGCATTTGATGCATGGGCTGAGATGTTCCACCTAAAATACATTGATGGTCAAAGTTTGGTAGGTATAGCACTTAGATATTCAGGGAAACCAACTTAAACGCAAACACTTAATGCTGATTGAGTTGCTGACAAAGTCAATGAACCATGAAAGGTAGGCCGCATTCAGCATTTGATGCATGGGCTGAGATGTACCACCTAAAATACATCAATGGTCCAAGTTTGGTTGGTGTAGCACTTATACTTTCAGAGAAACTAACTTAAAAACAAAAACTTAATGCTGACGCCGCCGTCGCCGGAAAGCAACACCTATGTGTCGCTTCAACTTCTCGGCGGCGAGACAAAAATGGAACAAAACATAATATCTGTACGAGATATAAATGTGCCCTTAATTAGAAAACTATTGTACACAATGTAAAAAGGTTGATACTGCATATATGTATGCAGAGAACTGCATAACTGTATACAAAACGGAGAACTGTATACAAAGTTTGTATTAATGTATACAGAATACTGTATTGCTGTATACAGAGTACTGTATTACTGTTAACAAAGCATCGGATTACTGTATACAGAGCATTGTATTACTTTATACAGAATACTGCATAACTGTCAACAGACTATTGTGTCACTGTATACAACGTTTGTATTAATGTATCCAGAATGCTGTATTGCTGTATACAGAACATTGTATTACTGTTTACAGCGTACTGTATTACTGTATACAGAGAACTGTATTGCTGTATACAGTATTCTGTATACAGCAATGCAGTATTCTGTATACAGCAATGCAGTATTCTGTATACAGCAATACAGAGTACTGTATTACTGTATACAGAGTACTGTATTGCTGTATACAGAATACTGTATTACTGTTAACAAAGCATCGTATTACTGTATACAGAGTACTGTATTACTGTTAACAAAGCATCGTATTACAGTGTACAGAGCATCGTATTACTGTATACAGAGCATTGTATTACTTTATACAGAATACTGCCTAACTGTCAACAGACTATTGTGTCACTGTATACAACGTTTGTATTAATGTATACAGAATACTGCATAACTGTCAACAGACTATTGTGTTACTGTATACAAAGATTGTATTACTGTATACAGTGTATTGTTTACTGTATACAGAGTATTGTATTACTGTATACAGAGTACTGCATAACTGTCAACAGACTATTGTGTTACTGTATACAAAGATTGTATTACTGTATACAGTGTATTGTTTACTGTATACAGAGTATTGTTTACTGTATACAGAGTATTGTATTACTGTATACAGAGTACTATATTACTGTATACAGAGTACTATATTACTGTATACAGAGTACTGTATTACTGTATACAGAGTACTGTATTTCTGTATACAGAGTACTGTATTACTGTATACAGAGCATCGTATTACTGTATACAGAGCATCGTATAACTGTATATAGAGCATCGTATTACTGTATACAGAGCATCGTATTACTGTATACAGAGCATCGTATAACTGTATACAGAGAATGGTATTACTGTAAACAGAGTACAGTATTACTGTATACAGAGTACTGTATAACTGTATACAGAGAATAGTATTACTGTATACAGAGCATAATATTACTGTATACAGATTATTGCATTATTGTATACAGAGTAAAGTATTTATGAATGCAGAATACTGTATTTATTTATACAGATTATTGTATTACTGTATACAGAGTAACGTATTACTGAATACAGACCACTGAATTACTGTATACAGAGTATTTTATATCGGTATACAGATCATTGTATTACTGTATACAGAGTATTTTATATCGGTATACAGATCATTGCATTACGGTATACAGAGTATTTTATTTCGGTATACAGATCATTGCATTACGGTATACAGAGTATTGTATATCGGTATACAGATCATTGCATTTCTGTATACAGAGCATTGTATTACTGTGTACAGAGTATTGTATATCGGTATACAGATCATTGTATTACTGTATACAGAGTAACGTATTACCGAATACAGACCACTGAATCACTGTATACAGAGTACTGTTTTACTGTATGCAGGGTATTGTATATCGTTTTACAGAGTACAAAGTTTTTAATTACTGTATAAAAACAACGATTAGCGAATCAATATACAATGCAGAAGTAAGTAAACTACGAACTTAATAGTCTTGTTACAGCCTATAAACCACTGAGCGAACTAGTATGCTTACTTAAAGGAAAACATCTTTAGATATCACAAGCAGAATGACAAATACATTGTCCTGGAAGGGAGTAAAACCATAAGACATTAAACTACATGTGTTGTTCTTTCAAGAAATACGGGAAGTCTAAAATCATTCTTGGTGTAATCCCTTTTCTTTCCATATCTTCCCGAATTGCTGGATGTTTCTGTAAAAACTGAATAAAAAGCTGCATGTCATATTCCCTATTTCCAGTAAGTAAATTTGGCAGAATTGAACCGTATTGCAGGGGGAAGCTGCCAGCTGTGAATGGCGTCATGGAGAAGCTTCCAGATTGGTTAGGAGTAGAGGAAAACCGCTGTGGCTGAACGTTAGTGATACTCTCAAACTTAAAATTATCAGGTCCTAGATGATATGCATTGTGACCAATCTGTTCTATCTGATTTCTTATCAAATCGTTCTGGCGAATCATGCACAGCACACGTTCCCGTTCACGTATATTACCCTCCGGAGTTCCCGTGTCGTCAAGAGTGATAGTAATACCATTGAAATCAGTTGTTATTCGTATTGCTGGCAAACAGTTTCTAGCCATATCGTCGAATGCCTCTTTTGACATATCGAGCGTGTTTCCATCCAGACCGAGGGCCAATACACGTTGGCGTGTAAATGCTGAATCGTATTTCGGAAAGTGTTCGGACACGCCGCTGGAGGTACCACGTAGTTCATCAGTACCCGGCAATCGTATGCCGTCAAATGTAAAGCCTCGTTCAATTGGTTCTTGTTGAAGGTGGTTGATGAAGCTGTTGAGGCTGTACACTTTAACCTTGCCATCACTGGCATCGCCGACCCACAATCGGTCGTCCCGTCCTACAGCGATAGTGTTGGGTGAACTAGCGTGCTCCTGGTCGTCCATTACAACAACGCTGATCAGATTTGCCAACGCATCCAACACATGGATGTAGCCGGACCCGCCATCCAACACTAGGAAGGCATCGTGCAGTCCAGAGCAAACAGCTCTGGGGGTGAATTGTGTTGTCATCAGCCCATCCGATTCCCTTCTGATCGGGAAAGCTGCCGAGCGGCAGTATGTTAACGCTCTAACGGTGTCATTGGGCAGCACGTGAACCACTCTGCATTCCATGTCGGCAGTGCACACTTGACTACTATATGTGTCAAACGCTAAACCACTTATCCGCATAAACTGACCGCGAAGGGTTCTTGATCTTCTCTGATTTCGTTCATGATCATATTCAAGCAAAACACACTCATTTAACAACGAATCATTTAAGGGTTTGACTGCAACAATCAAGGATCCGTCATCTCTTACAAGGAGAGATGTTGGCAGATAATCTCCTACGTTTACATACTCAATAGGTGTGGTGTTGAGGTCCCCACAAACGAATACTGAATTGGAATATTCCTGAATAACAAGTAATGGCCCATCCGGGTGAGCGCACATATCGATAACCTTGCCCGCAGCGTATCTAGTGTCAGTCACCTTCCCGCTCATATTGTATCTGTAGATAGCAGGACCGTTATCAAACAGCACCCAGGCATCTCTCGCTGATACGGGTACGATCTTACTGACACACGTGAACGTAGACTGGAATCCACCAATAACCTCGGCATAGCAGCATGACCGCGTGACAGGTCGCAGCATGCTAATGGCTGTTCGTATCGCTGTGGCTTCCCCTGGGACGACTTCGTCCTCTTGGTCACGGCAACAGGAACCGTCCTTACTTGCTTGGTGGGATTCGTGTGTCGTTCTACATGTCTGACAAAGCAGCTGATCGCACGAATTGCACCGACGGACATCAACACTCGACGTCTGACAAACACTGCAGTTCTCTTTGTACAGCTTACAAGGAACGAAGTAGTTTGAACTGAACCCCTGCACCCCGTGTTCGGGCAGCCAGACTTCCTCCCGACATATGGGACAAGAGAAATAATGTCTCTGACGGCTGGAGGCATGCCACCTCTCTAGGCAGCATGAACAGAATGTATGCCGACAGGGTAAGAGTCGAGGGTCCCGATATACTTCTGTACAAATCGTACAAGCTTCGTCATTTTCCGTAGCGTCCTCTCTTCTCTTTGACAATCCGTTTGACGTCATGCTTAATCATGGTGTACTCTGGAATACAGAATCAAAAACATACATAAACACACGTATATCAAGAAAAAGAAACACCGTCAAGACATGACCTCCCACTGAATTGAGTCGTAAGATTTGCAAACCAGATACATTTGAAAAATTGTCTGGTGTTGGTCTTTAATCCAATACACACTATCAAGCACCTTATGAGGAAATCTGTATTATCCTGTACACCTATTTACCACTTTACACGATCATTTGCTTTTAGATATGTATTCGGTTCCGACGGTTTAGTTTTAGGAGAAACTCAATATGTTTGTATATTGTGGTTGAATATAAAAGTCAGGGTTGTTCGGCCTTGTTAATTATTTCCTCCAACATTTTCTAATCCGCGTTAAATATCCCACCGTAATACATACACATAAGTTGGTTGCTATATTTTAACATCTTACTGTGACGAGAACGGAACATGTTTTCATTTGGTGTTCTGTGTTTTTTTTTAAACCCATGTTATAAAGAGCAAAACTTCTGACAATACCGAGAAAACCATTTGCTTTTACCCGAAAGGATATAATTATCATTTTTATTCGTTCTGTATATATTGTCCTTTCTTTAGAGAAATCACGTTGTGGTCAGAGAAATCACGCTGTTGTCAGAGAAAGCACGCCGTGGTCAGAGAAATCACGCCGTGGTCAGAGAATGCCGTGGTCAGAGAAAGCACGTCGTGCGCAGAGAAATCACGCCGTGGTCGGGGAAATCACGCCGTGGTCAGAGAAATTACACCGTGGTCAGAGAATGCCGTGGTCGGGGAAACCACGCCGTGGTCAGCGAAATCACGCCGTGGTCAGAGAATGCCGTGGTCGGGGGAATCACGCCGTGGTCGGGGAAATCACGCCGTGGTCAGAGAAATCACGCCGTGGTCAGAGAAATTACACCGTGGTCAGAGAATGCCGTGGTCGGGGAAATCACGCCGTGGTCAGAGAATGCCGTGGTCGGGGGAATCACGCCGTGGTCAGAGAAATTTAAAAACCAGAAGCTATGTTGCATGGGGATAAATCGCACCAGAGGACCTACCTTCAGGTTTAACAGCGTTCCAGGCTCTGTAATGACCTGCTATGTATCACATGGGCATAATAACTCATACGTACCAAAAATATAATGTGACTAACAAAAGCTTGACTGCCATAATTATATCTGTAGGGGGTTTACATGAGATGTATACAAACTCGACACAAAAGGACACGTAAATCTTTATGCAAAAAATAACAAGGCTGATTTGGACCGTCTGTCGATGCAGTTCGACAAAACAAACCATCTAAAGGCCAAGCGCGTTGCACTTTATGGTAACTGCCATGATACCAACTATAAACAACTATCGATTCCGGACGACAGGGTGGTCAGGTTCGACAACGCTGTTTAAATCCGGCTACGGAACATAACTTTACACAGAACCAACCGTACACATCAACAAGGATTGATAAGTTCATAGTTACCTGCTTTTCTATCAAATCTCAGGTACAATTATATGTACCGGTACTGACCAGACCAGTTCACCAGAAAATTTACTCACATTGGAAAAAAAACAAATTCATAAAAGTAGATTAGGAATTAATGCCAATGTTCGTTTATAACGATAGAAGTCTGGCTCTAAGAATCAAGTAGAAAGTGAAGATATAAAGGGGGCGGTGGCATGCAAATCTCTAAACTGCACGTCCACAGTTGCCTCGTGGGACTGATAATATTACTACAGCTATAGTATATTTCTTCTCATAGTACTAAGTTAAGGAATTAAGGAAAAGTCAGTCATCTAAGTAGATCCACTTCGATATCCCTGTCGTCTACCATTGTAAAGATGCCAGTCCGCCCGCATCATGGAGTTTCGGCTTTCCTCCAAGCAGTGCGCTATCCACTGCACAACCCGACCACCCAAACAGTTTTAAACAGTAACGTATGGTCTTGCCACTTACACGGTGACCAGGAAACTACGGTGGTGTGGTCTTGTAGATGGCGCAGTCTTACATGACTGTCCTCCTTAGGGATGGCGACATGTGGTCTGCATGACCAGATATGGTTGAAACAGAGCCACAGATGGATCGCCACCACAGAGCAACTAAAACCTTCGCAACTTTGCGTTTCAACTGACCAACAAGGAACATTCAAATAGCTCTTTATGTCCCTGTCCTCATTCGACGGTCTCGGCAATGATCAACTTTGGTTTTGGTTTTCAAGTTGATAGGAACCTACCAAGTCCTGGAGGTAACCAATGAACTCAAACATGCCTGAATTCCTGTTTCCGATCAAAATAACTCACCTTATTCTACTACCAAACGCCATCTTACAAACAATAGTATACATGTTTTTCTGTGAGACATACATTCGAACCTCGTTATCGCGAATTCTAGTAACGTTTCTTCTTTATTTATGTTCCTCTCTACTCATTTACTGTTGCCATTCTAACCTAATACTACGTTAGTGTCCATGTCAGTCGAGGAAGCATTCCAGACAAATTTATGTAATACAGGCCTTGATTTCCCCCCGATAGCCTGGTCCCAACACTTCAGTGTAATCATTTAACAACTTCTTTCTCGCTCCTTTTGATGCTCTTTATACAACGCAGGTCGTCGTACCATTTTCTCTTACACTTGCTTGTGTAATCATCTATTGATGGAATGGTTTCTACCCGCACTTTAACAAAGTCGAGTGATGTTCCCTTATCTTATACCTCAATATGGTCCGTGCCGTGAGCACCAACCGCGCGCTCGATGATTGGCAGAAGCTCCTTGCAGTCTTTGGTACTCTGCTTGCTCTTTTCCATGCTTGCATATTCATGTCGATTACCGCATCAAACAGGATGTCTGAAATTATGCCACCTCCTGGAGCTACATGAACTGTCAAGATTGCTCAAAATTTCAAATATTAAATCGCAGTTGTATGCAGCTAGTTATTATTATATTCCTAACGACCAATCAACACAGGAGAGGTCATTAGGTCCAATAATTCCGAATTCAACCAACTGTTATTTTTTGTTAGAAATTGTTGATTTGAAATCATCGCAAATGTATGTTGCATGGTGTTGGTGACCATTAAGGTGAGAGAAACTATAGTCAAGAACTGAAGATGAGTGGCTTTCCTTAATAAGACTGCTGTCTTGTCGCAGAAAGGTGAACGCACTGATTCAGATTCTGGCCATGCCCTACAGGTTCAGGGAAAGAATGTCTGCTGTATGCCACTATATGTCGTAAAAGGCTATTATCTTGGGGGCCCTGCACACCAGGGCTTTTCTTCCGTGTTTTCTGCTGCTAAGGAGTCATTGAAGAATCAAAATTGATACGCTGTCCCAATTCAACATTTTGGATCTTTATATTTTCTCTCTTCTTTCTAATAAACTTTTTGTTTCCTTATTCCTTGCTTGGAATACCTGGCTATTGGCTTCAGTGTTGAGCGTTCGCCCACGCGAGGAAGGCAAGGGTTCTGTCTTAAGGCCAGACATACCAAATTCTTAAAAAATGATGATGAAGTAGTTGTTGTTATTCCCTGCATAACGTTCATCCGAGCCGGATACTGTGCTGGGTGCCTTCGGCATGGTATTTCATTGGCGTAGCACTTAAAATTGGGCATTACATACACTTACATGTACATACGTGCAAACATATATTACACACACGGAGGAACGTCCTTAAATAACCTAAGCTGCTAATGGGACGTTCAACCTTAACATTACAAAACAAAACTAAACCAGATTTCAATCGAAAGCTTACATCTCTCACCATTATCAAATTTGAATACAACGGCAAAATATTTAAATGATATACATGGCATTTTTAAAGATTTTTGTAAATCTGTACTGGCTAGTTCCGCACATCAAGCCACGTAATATAAAGCAGGAAACCGATGTGAATGACCGGGGGGGGGCAAATTTAACATCGCCGGTGAGGAAAAGAAACAAAACACCTCCGATGAGGAAAAGAAACAAAAACATCACCAGGGGGGAGGGAACAAAATCACAAGAAATCAACGGAAAAAAGGAGGAAAACCAAATAGAGAACAAACACACGAAACCCAAAATCCCGAGATAACAAACGCCTGATGAAACAACAACTATCTGGTCTGGAGAATAGAAAAACATACACAAAGCATGTTTACACGGGGTTAACCTGATATTAATAAGAACATTGAATTAAATCATACCATGGCCCGGAAAAATAACAATCTATCACAAACTGCGATACTTACTGCCTTATAAGTGAGAGAGAGCATGTGTGCCATTTTACAGCCATAAAAATATTGTAGTTTCGTTTTCCTTGTGTATAATGTGTGTAATGTGGATACGTGGCAACCAAAACAGAAATACAGGTCAAGTGTCATCCGTGTTTGGATCTTGTCATTTATACTTGTTCCGGTTTAGTATGTTGTGAATTGTGTACACACACACACATATACGTACGCTCGGTAACCCAAAACACAAAATGAAAGATACCAGTGATGGTGAATAGGCTAAAATATGGATCCAACTAACGTAAAAACTGGCCAGAGGCATGTACCTACTAACGGCCAGGGTGTCCTGTGTCTCCAACGTATCGATGAGAGTAGATCTGATTGTCTACAGACATGTAACTATACTTACCAGAGTACTGACCCCAGCGAATCAGTCCATGTCTGCTTGTATCTGTGCGGAAATGACTGAAATGCGGAACGGAGACGGCATGGCGCGAGACACGGAACGGAGCGCAATAAATCTATGTTCTACTACAACTTATACTTACGTCTGAATTCAATCAATCATGCATTAGATATGTTTATAAAAAATATAACTGACCCAGTGCTACACAACCCAATCCAAGCTCACGACTCACGACAACGGGCACATATGTTGTTATCCATATGTAATAAAGCGCTTCAGAGTCATTTTAAACTTTATTATATAACTGTCAAAAGGCTGGAATCATAGACATGTAAAAAATATATACATGTAGTATAATTAAACAGTTGAAACAAAACATTTGACAATGTTCACACCAGTAAAACATGTAAAGCGATATTAGACACCTCCGATACGTTACCATAGAAACACTTAGGATATACCGGTAACGGTGTGACGTCATAAGGTAAAAAAAGGTTACCTAATAAACAGTTTCTCGAGATAGGGAGGCCTGGGTTAGAAGGTGCAGTTTTGGAGAGTTTGTACAGTGTTGCGTGTGTGGCCATCTTTTAAATTTGTATCTTTCTCTGGTAGTTTCAGGACTTAGTTGTCGTTTTCATAACGATTCCCTGATAGCGTTCAAACGATCCTGCACTGATCTTGCCGCCATGATCTTTTAGTGGAAAATATTGAATGCAAATGGCTTAACTTGGACGCCCACCATCAACACTATAACGCTTCACTCCGAGTGGATAGGGTCCGGAGATAACTTTATGTATCGCTTTGTGTTAGTAGAATAAAGTTTATCACTTTGTGTTAGTAGAATGTTATATTAGGGTTATCTCATTTATTTCGATATATTATTTTAGTTTATATTGTGAAAGTGTTTATTGTTAAATTCGGATGTTTTCTATAGAATTCTAACCTTTATGAACTTTGTGATATTTCTTCCCCTGGTCTCGTCTTGTCCTGTCTGTATCTACAACTTTTCAGTCATACATGTATAAAAATAAATTGCTGAACTTATTGCAGTCTTCAAGAGTTTCTCTTTTCAACGTGTGTGCTAAAATCGGAAAGAATTTTGCAGTAGAAAGAGAAAAAGGGAATTGGTGTAAGCCGGATTGAAAGTGTACATCTGAAAATTGTCTATTCCTAATTACTAGACTAAAATGTTTGAATGTATAGAATAGCTCACACATACTTATATTTTGTAATACAGTTCTTTCAGTTATATTCCTACCATTCATACATCAAGCATGTATCACAGGTACCTGAGAATTTGTTACAGCTATATTGGGATTTAAACTAAGGTGTTCAGATTAATTGTACATGTGTTAGGGGTTTAGATCGACTTTCGGTTAAAATGCCAGCCCCAATGATGATAGTATACGTAAAGGGAGAAAAGCTGTTCTTCCATCAAAAACCACATTTGTAGCTCTATGCACAGGGGTTCGTTACAAATGTCCGAAAATACGCATATGATATACTGATATTGGTCACAGCACACACGTATGTTTATGTGTGCTGTGACCCATATATCAGTATAGCATATGCGTATTTCAGACATTTGTAACGAACCCCTGTGTTCTATGACTGCGGAAAACTTTTATAAATTCTGAAATGACGTGTTTTTTTGGATGAAACGGAGATTATCTCTGCGGAACGAGAATATATTTTACGTGCATATAGGAGGTTTTTGAAAGATTTTTTTCCATCTTTTCTACTACTACTAGGCCTAGTACTAAGCATTTGTGTACCTCAACTAGAAATCTGGGGGGTTTTGCAAGGAAGTTAAGTGGGTCAGTTTTTTGAAACATTGAGCTTTCCTCCCTGCTCGTATATAAGAATCAGGTTGGCATTTTCACCGAAATTGATCTAACCACTAAAACGTGTAAAATTACTATGATTTAGGTCCAAATATAGCTGTAGCAAAGTAATGTCATTTTGTTTGCTTTTAATCTGTTTTCTTATTTACGTAGCAGTCAAACATCACTAAATGAGTAAACTTGCTGGGCCATTGTTTGTCGATCGAGCGTTACTTATATCATATTAAGCATTACGCACGCGTCTCGGAGTAGCTCCGTTCCGTTCTCCGTTTCGCTTAGTATTTAGGTATTTCCCATTTGCTATTTTAAGAATAGCGAGCCATCTGCGCGGCCATTCGATGACTATTTTATGTCGGCTTTGGAAGAAGTTGAACTCCTGGTTAGCAATGGTTCAGGTAAGTACATATAATTAAAAAAAGCTTACTCCTTTGTACAGACTTCATTATTGCGATGGTTTCATTTATAGACCCTCATCAGCTCATGTCGACCTACATTTCCTGTAGGCTGTACTGTGTCGTATGCAACGCATATCAACAGAGTGTCCATCATTGGCCACAGATACGCTGCACACAATTACTCGAAAGAGGGTGTTGCAGAATATCTAGATGGATAGATAGATTTTAATCTGGCTGTGGGACTATTTTTCAGATTTATGCTTCAATGTGTTATGAAACTACCGTGGGACAATCAGGCAGTCCATAGAAAACCGTTAAAGAGCATAACTTGTACATGTATGTGTTAGGAATTTACTGTGAGACAATCAAGCAGTCCATACGTTACAGAGCATATGACCCCTCTACTCCTCTCACAGCCTCGAGCTGTAGGTTCGGAGAAAGAATAGTCCCGTCACACACTGCATCTAGGCCAAAGAGGTGACTTCTGTGCCCTCCCTCCCTGCAGAATCGGGATTGTTCCGCTGCTCAAAGGACATAGAAGATTGGCCGGTGTTAATATCAGTACTGACGTTTAATCACATACAATCCTAAATGATTGGTTGATTTAGCGGGAGGGGTTCCGTTAGGGCTAATAGGGGTGTGTGTCGCAGGGTAAGAGTATAGGATCTGTTCATAGTGGCTTTAGATGTAAGATCCTAGCCAGTTTTAGCGGACTAGTACAACTGATGTGTTCGTTTCTGATCAACGACTACTGCCTAAAATGAGTTGTTGAAAATATGCTTGATTGTGTAGCGCCACGGAATTGGATTATTATTAAATGTGCTATCTTAATCCATGGTGGCACATAGCAGTATCGCCAGTTAAACATGTATGTTTGTGGTGACATTAACGTTATAGATTAGACATGGCATTGCTCCGTCTCGTTACTGCGTGTATACATACACTTGTGTGGGAACGCGTACAGTTTCGTGGAAACATTGAAGTTAGTTTCTGTTTGTGTGAGGACTGATGTAACGGTTGAGAGGGAGTGTCCTGGTGTCCATATATGTACATGATTACCGAAATACTTTACACATTAATGATGGACATGACGTATAATCATTACAGAAAATGACATCTTAGATGTATGCCGCTTCGTGATGCAAACGTCTAAGTATGCGCGTATCGGGATACATTTATGAATCTAGGTAAGTACACGTACAGGCGGTATTCCTTATCACAACTTTTATATTTTGGGGACATAGTATCACAGTCAGTACCGGTTGCAGCCACAGGGACATGCGAATTGGCTACAGGCAGCTAAGCATTGGGAGTGGATGTTTTACCGAAAGTCGATCTAAACCCCTAAATCATGTAAAATTACTAGTTTAGGTCCAAATATAGCTGTAACAAATTCTGTGGTCGCAGCAACTCGTTCTACCCGACGGATCATGGTACTGTCCTCTTATCACGTGCACCTTTGTGAACTTTTCCAGTTACGCGCGTTGTGTGACCTGTGGAGCCCGTCGTGTTGTCATTACTTAACCCATTCACCCCTAAAGTCACTTTCGAACCTTTCTAAATCAAAGACTGAGAAAGTAGGGATGAATGAGTTAAGTATGGTAGTATTTGGGATTAGTTGTGTTTAGGGATTTCGGGCTAACATATTTAATAACTATTTCCTGTTCTAAAGTGCATAAACCACCAGGAAGGACATGTGTGCTTATGAATGTATTAAGTTGTATATTTGCTACTATGTGTTAATTTGTATATATCCTAGTGTGTTAAATTGGATAAATACAATGTATGTGTTCAAGTGTTTAAATATATTAACAGATATATTTTTGAAACATCATGACCTTCCTTGATACTGATGAATATAGAGTCAATTTTAGAATGTGCCAAAACAGAAATCAATAACGTATACCCATAGTCCAGACTCTTTACCCCTATACTTCACACTTTAATTACAAGTATACACAACATTTAAATCAAGAAGCACACGGTACCGGCTCGTCTTAGTTGACTCCGTTTCCGAGATATTGTGATTTATCTGAAAGTCACACCTTTGGCTCAGCGGCGATCGCCTCGTTTTGGGTAGCCCACATCTGTGACGTCACAAGTTCAACACTGTCAAAAGCTTCGGTCGTGCGTTCGATATGTGAACATTTTAGCTACTCATATGATATATATTCCGTCGTCACTTACTTGTGTAGATAATATTTAAAGACTACATACATAGAAATGATTTTTTTTACAACTGTAATGATGAAATGAGTTCCTCCTGAGGAGGCAAACGGTGTGTTGGATGTTAAATAAATATGTGTTTTTTACATAAGTGGTTAATCTAGTGACTGTAAATAATATACCTTTTTATTAGCCCACCATCATCTGATGGTGGGCTATTCAAATCACCCTGCGTCCGTGGTCCGTGGTCCGTCCGTGGTCCGTCGTCCGTCGTCGGTCCGTAAACAATTCTTGTTATCGGTATTTCTCAAGAAGTACCAGCGGGATCTTTCTCAAATTTTATATGCAGGTTCCCCTTGGTCCTAAGCTGTGCAGGTCAACTTTTGAGACTGATCGGATAAACAACATGGCCGACAGGCAGCCATCTTGGATTTTTATATTGAAAGTTTGTTATCGCTATTTTTAAAGAAGTACCAGAGGGATCTTTCTCAAATTCTATATGTAGGTTCCCCTTGGTCCTTAGCTGTGCAGTGCAACCTTTGAGACTGATCGGATAAGCAACATGGCCGACAGGTAGCCATCTTGGATTTTGATAGTGTGGGTTTGTTACCGCTATTTCTCCAGAAGAACTAGAGGGATCTTTCTTAAATTTTATATGTAGGTTCCCCTTGGTCCTTAGCTGTGCAGGGCATTTTTTTGAGACTGATCGGATAAACAACATGGCCGACAGGCAGCCATCTTTGGTTTTGATATTGTAGGTTTGTTACCGCTATTTCTCCGGAAGAACTAGAGGGATCTTTCTTAAATTTTATATGTAGGTTCCCCTTGGTCCTAGCTGTGCAGGGCAATTTTAGAGACTGATCGGATAAACAACATGGCCGACAGGCAGCCATCTTGGATTTTGATAGTGAAAGTTTGTTATCGCTATTTCTCGGGAAGTACGGGAGGGATCTTTCTTAAATTTTAAATGTAGGTTCCCCTTGATCCCTCGTTGTGTATGTTATATTTTGAGACTGATCATAAAAACAAAATGGATTAAAAGAAGAACTAAACAGATCTTTCTCATATTGCATTGATCGATTCTATTTCTTTCACATTACGTACTGTACTAGTAAATATGTGAAATGACAAACTCACTTTGAAGGTTGGCTTTCATACACATCAGTATTAAGTTTAGATCAAATGTTACCTCAAAGTGCATTTACTGTTAACATGACTCGATCAAACAGATTAGAGGAAAGAAGAGAAAAGATCGAACTGACAAAGAACTAATGAAGATGGTACAAAGGTGGGCACCAAGATCCCTCTGATGAACACCTTACAATTGATTAAAAATTGAGTCAAATTAACATAGGCGCACCTACGTTAAATTAAATATAATATCACGGATACGTCTCTGGCGCACCGCATCCCTTTCTTTACAATTCGTAGATATACGATTGGAATTGACAAAAAATGCACCGGTACAATAATCAATACTCAAAATGATCAGCAACCCATGTTTTTTTTCACTCCCAGGCATACAAATTGAAACGTTTTTATTCTGTAAGCAATCCAAGGAATTTAGCACATAATGAATATATACACACCACTTCTAATAATATTGCAGAGGGAGAACCTGTCCGTTATATGTAAATGCGAAGATAAGTAATTTATCAATGAACCACCTGATCAGATATGTAGCATGGTCCAGCATTATTTGCCTTGTTTCTGACTTTCATCTGTCGAGTGATGCAGTTGTACTGATTGTGGTTTACATATAATGTGACTCTGTGACAGTAGTTAGGCATTTCATTTATTTATATTTTTCTTGTAATTGATCATGAACTCTTAAAAACGTACCATACGAAGAACGCCTAAGTATAGAATACATCGAGCTGATGTAATTCAAACCTACAAAATACTAAACAACATGGACATTTCTTGACAAGGGCAAACTATTTCATGAAGCTGAAGACAACCGAACCAGAGGGCACTCCAGGAAACTATTCAAAAGACCATGCAGATTAAACAAATATGGTAATTTCTACAGCAACAGAGTGATAAATCTGCGGAACTCTCTAACAGAGGAGGTAGTAATCTCTCCAACGCTCAACACCTTCAAGTCACGGCTCAACAGCCACTGGAAAAATCATCCGAAAAAATTCAAGCCATCTTTTTATTAGTTACATATATATGGAAGTCCAATCAGTCAAAAGTGAACAATGTAACAAATTGACTGTTTGGCACTGACCATGCTTTTAAAAATCACATATTTTAACCATCATATTTTAAAAGGAGAGGAATCAACAGTGGGAGCTGAATACTCCAACCCTACCAGATAAAGAAATGAACCTGTAAATATAAATAACTATATATATAGCAACCAGAAGTCTAATTAGTACGTGTGTGCACAGCATACTTTAGAAGAAAGGATCATCTGAGCGAAACTGATACCAGAGACGTAATATATACGTCTCTGCTTATACAATTCCTCGTTATCTCACCTGAGGACATTGTTGTTAAATTGAAAATTGGAAGACACATAATCTACACCAATCTACATACTAACTTCAGGAACCCCCTTGCCGACCTGCTGACATCCCTTTGATGTCATACCTGTACACAGCTATATAGGTATCTTGGGCCTCCTGCTGTCAGCACTTGACACAGGTGTTAATTATAAGTGTTATTTATTTACTTGTACACAAATGTCATACCCAAGTATGCTAAGGGAGTGGATCGAGATGATTTTCATTATTTAACCAAGATGTTAAATTATAAATTGTGTATGCTACATGTATAGGGTGAAAAACAACTGTTTGAATCTCATAATTTAATCATATTTTCGAGATAAATGTAATCACGGAATAAGATTATAAAACGTTTAAGTTATTTTGTAAACATTTTTCACTGATATATTTCCATATTTTTGGACCTGAGAGGTACCACAGTATATAACTTTTTTTCAATATGATTATTCCGGCACAGAAACTGATCACGACGTAGTGCTGTTCAATGACGACATGATTGGATAAGTTCTCACTGTAGAGCAGAGACATATAAAGTATATACGTCTCTGTGTAGAGTAAAGATAATGATTGCAAACCGACTTTCCAGCTAAAATTAAGAAATATCTTTGATCGACAACATTGGGCCTTTTTTTTTGTTTAATTTCCCTCAAACTAGTTCATTCGAAAAAATTCTCATCAGTGCTCAGAATCAGGACATGCAATGCTACCAGTCTATGTTACCCTATTCAGAGTCGTCAGTTCGATATCAATTAAACTCACAGTCTGGAAATTCTGGCAAATTGTATATGGCTGGATACCATCTACACAATGTTAACTTCAGCTTAATCTGATTCCTCAAACAAACAAAAAACAAACAAAATATTAATTCGCAATCTGACGTTATATGATCATGGCTGTTTCTTGATAATCGCATATTAATTCGATGGTTTTTGATTTGATGCAACAGGATTGGGCACAAGTTGTACAACTTATTTAAAGCCCTTTCCCTAAAATAAAACATCTGTATATACAATATACACAACCATTTGTACTAATCTTATGAGAGAGAGAGAGAGAGACATAGAGAGATATTTTGCATATTTATTTTGTTATAATGAGGACAATGTTTTCCGACACTGACGACAGAAGTTGACACTATACACTTTCCTAACCATTCTGCTTGTACTATTGTCCATCACTTCCGTGCCTTGTACTATTGTCCATCTCTCCCGTGCCTTGTTCTATTGTCCATATCTCCCGTGCCTTGTACTATTGTCTATCACTCCCGTGCCTTGTACTATTTTCCATCACTCCCGTGCCTTGTACTATTTTCCATCACTCCCGTGCCTTGTACTATTTTCCATCACTCCCGTGCCTTGTACTATTTTCCATCACTCCCGTGCCTTGTACTATTTTCCATCACTCCCGTGCCTTGTACTATTGCCCATCACTCCCGTGCCTTGTACTATTATCCATCACTCCCGTGCCTTGTACTATTATCCATCACTCCCGTGCCTTGTACTATTGCCCATCACTCCCGTGCCTTGTACTATTGCCCATCACTCCCGTGCCTTGTACTATTATCCATCACTCCCGTGCCTTGTACTATTGTCTATCACTCCCGTGCCTTGTACTATTATCCATCACTCCCGTGCCTTGTACTATTGTCTATCACTCCCGTGCCTTGTACTATTGTCCATCACTCCCGTGCCTTGTACTATTGTCCATATCTCCCGTGCCTTGTACTATTGTCCTTGTCATTCCGTTCGTCCTTTGGTCCGTCAGAAGGATGAGCTCCATCAACACTTTGGTTTACTAATATTGGAAGCGTCCTGGTGAAAGATTGTTTGTTAATTTGTGTAGTGATGGTTTTATTTCCTGTCACCAGCGTACATTTCTGTACTTTTACAATTTACCTTCACATCGCCCTGTTCTTTTGGGTATTATATTGTGAGTAAGTTACTCACAGTATAATACCCAAAAGAACAAAGCATAGACGTCCTTTTCAGGTTCAACCGATGAATGTTACCTCTCCTAACGCTAAGTGTAGGTATCTTGCCATCTTTTGAGGGCGTCTTTTAGCTCCTGCAGTGATGCTGGCATTTCTTCTTCAAGATTATCTCCTTGATCAATTTCTTCAGTACCTTTAACCAACTGATATATTTTCTCCTGGTCATAACTTTCAGGCTAACTTCTTCATCAGGACTATATTCAATGTCATACGCTGTACGTAAAATTATCCATCCTTGCTCAGTGAACTCTGGCGGGTCCTGATCTACTGTTGGGGTCGCTGGTGACTCACGCTTGAATCTCTCAATCAGATCCAGAGCCACTGGTGACTCACGCTTGGATCTCTCAATCAGATCCAGAGTCGTTCGTGACTCACGCTTTGATATCTAAATCAGATCCAGAGTCGCTGGTGACTCACGCTTGAATCTCTCAATCAGATTCATAGTCACTGGTGACTCAAGCTTGGATCGCTCAATCAGATCCAGAGTCGCTGGTGACTCACGCTTGAATCTCACAATCAGATCCAGAGTCACTGGTGACTCAAGCTTGGATCGCTCAATCAGATCCAGAGTCGCTGGTGACTCACGCTTTGATATCTAAATCAGATCCAGAGTCGCTGGTGACTCAAGCTTTGATATCTAAATCAGATCCAGAGTCGGGTGACTCACGCTTGAATCTCTCAATCAGATTCATAGTCACTGGTGACTCAAGCTTGGATCTCTCAATCAGATCCAGAGTCGTTGGTGACTCACGCTTTGATCTTTCAATCAAATGCAGAGTCACTGGTGACTCACGCTTGAATCTCTCAAACAGATCCAGAGTCGCTGGTGACGCGCGCTTGGATTAATCAATCAGATCCAGAGTCACTGTTGACTCACGCTTGGATCTCTCAATCAGATCCAGAGTCGTTCGTGACTCACGCTTTGATCTTTCAATCAGATGCAGTCACTGGTGACTCACACTTGAATATCTCAATCAGATCCAGAGTCACTGTTGACTCACGCTAGGATCTCCCTATCAGATCCAGAGTCGCTGGTGACTCACGCTTGGATCTCTCAATCAGATCCAGAGTCACTGGTGACTCACGCTAGGATCTCCCTATCAGATCCAGAGTCGTTGGTGACTCACGCTTCGATCTCTCAATCAGATCTAGAGTCACTGCTTGGCAAATGTCGCCCGCCCTAAAATCATCTCTTGTTAGCCCCCTTATGACGTCGTATGATGTCTCGCGTTTATGAGAAGTTCTGGTATATCCACTCGCCTTGCGATCCCTCTATAGCTACCTCTCTTGTTTATTACTCGTACACTTCTCCTTTGGATCTCCTCTAGAGCCTACCGGGGTTATTTCTTGCATGCAATAATCTGTACATATGTCAAGGATTACTTTGTTGGATTTGATTTGATATTCATCATAACAAAACAAAAACTTTGTTTACATTGTAATTAGTCAGAATACTTCAGATGTTTTCCGAACTTTCTTCTGAAGCCTGTTGTTTCTGGACTAACGATGTTTCAAAACTACGACGACTTGCACTATAGAAATTTACTGATGAGACTTACTGATTTCGTAGCTGCGCAACACATTGACTATTTGACGTGTTTTGTTTTTCAGTTGAATGCCGGGGACTGAGGAGCACATGGGCGGTAGCGGTCTGGTGACTGAGACTCATAAGAAGGTTATAGTTCTGGTGACGGATGAGCGTGAGGACGGCAGGGCTCTGGTGACGGAGGAGCGCGAGGACAACAGAGGAGGCTAGAGGCCTTGACGAAGGAGCGCGAGGACGGTATAGTTCCGGTGACTGAGCAGCCTGAGGACGGTTTAGGCCTAGTGGCAGAGGATCGGAAGAAGTAAGAGGCCTGGTGATGGAGGAATGTCCCATATGTATGAACGAGTACAGATCTCCTAAACTGTTAGAATGCAAACATACTCTCTGTTCTGTGTGTCTTAAAAAAATCCACTCCTTGGCGAAAAATCCTTCTAACATTACGTGTCCGATATGTAGACAGGTAACAAAATTGCCAAGGGAGAAAAATGTTGATTCTTTATTAACAAACTTCTTCGTATCAACGATTAATGTTTATATTTGCGATTCGTGTGATTCAAGGAGCGAAGTACCACTGATTGAGTGCGAGTCTTGCTCTGTTTGCCTGTGCAAGCCGTGTTTTGAAAATCACGGGAAAAGTAGCGACGACAATAATAAATGCCGTAACTCTGACAACATTGATGATTCTACTTTGTACCCAGATGATCCTACTATGAGGGGAACAATACAGTACCTGTTAAATGGATTCGTCCGCTCGTGCTACTGTGGGGATTTGTGGGGCGAATTTAGTGTCTCGGGGGCTTCACGTGTCACAAAAATTTTACCAGTTTCTGCATATAGTGCCTGGGTGTTACTAGATGAGGGAGCTGATGTATTCAAATTCAACGACTCTGGACACGTAGAGGACAAACGTACCGTAGGACGTGGTAAAACACTGGACATATGCTGGAATGAGAAGGATGGCTTGCTCGCCATCTGTCAAGGGTTTGCTTCTGTTATGAGATGTCTTCCATCTGGACCTGAACCGTTCATTGATACTGGAAATTATCATCCTACATCGCTATGTAACTATAGGGACGACGGCATTGTTGTCTGCGCTTTAGATGTAGAAGAGGGCGTAAGTTATGTAATGATATACGACTCCCACCAGAACCTTGCCGATATCCGGTGGATCAATGAACGCTCGACGTTCAAACGAATTATTTCCGTTGCATACAATGATTTGACTCAGCAGGTATGTGTTGCCGATGAGGAGCGGAACATGGTATACTTACTAGGAAACGACAGAAAGTGTGAAACTTACCGAAAAACCATGGTTTTCCCAACGCGAGGCCGACCGACCGAGATAGAACGACCGGACGGATTCGCTCCCACTTCAGTCTGCTGCGACCACGACGGAACTATATTCGTACACGACTTTTCTTCCTCGTCTATCCACGTGCTCAACGCCAAGGGAAAGTTGCTCGGGATGGTGCTGGGCAGTGACGAGGATCATACGGGCGATCCATGGTGTATTAACTTCGGCCCAGATAAGAAGCTCTGGATAGGCGACATGTTTTCGGGACATATTAGAATCTACAATATTGAAAAAGTATTCAACCGTCTCCATCACCGATCTTCACGTCAACAGAGGTTAATTCGTGTTGGAGGTGAAGATGGCATACACGACGCATTTAGAGAGATGCTGAGCAATAGCGCCTCGATATTCTCAGGAATCCAAAACGAATCTGGAGAACTCTCTATGGAGAATATGCACCAGCTGCTGTCTGCCAGTGAACATGGCAGTGGACTACTGGGACAGCTAACACATCAACGTATGCTTCTTAGCGGCGACTCCATTTGCATGACGCGTGGACTAAATGGGATTGAAATATCGTCCTCACGGGAACCAGAAAACCCGGAGGCGAATAGAATGGTACGAAGAGCATGTGCAAGTCAAGTTCTTGAAGACAGGGAGATGCAGTCCCGATTAGCTGCAGACGGTATAAGCGTGGATGAAGTGCTTCGAGCTTGTACAGATGTGGATGACTAGTAATTTATTGTATCATCATTTTGCAAAACATATTGATTTGAAAGAGACTTTTAATATCATCTTCACAAATCAGAGTTGTAATTCTCCATTGAGTCACTGGGTATGCCATACCTGGATGTTTCTTAAGCTGTTTACACATGTTAGTGTATACATGTATAGTGTGGCTGCCTGATGTTTGGATAAAGTTCGCTATAAAAATAATTTTCTGTCCCTGGTGAGAGAGGAGGAGGGTAGTCGACTAACAGCGTTACCATTACGATACCTTATCTACTGGGTACACATCTTGTGTAAATGCTTGATAAATGTAGGGACTCCAAACCTGTAAAGGACTTGTCACGATGACGGGTGTTCAAATGAAACATGGCATGTTCTTATTGAATTAAAACTCTGTCGCAATTCCTTGTCTATATATACTAGTCATACGTTTTGGGTCTTGCTTTGTTGCCCAACGGGCTGCCTTATCATGAACATTTTAATATGATTGATCAGCATTACAATACTTCATAGTTTCGTTTTTTTCTTGTTATTAATTGAGAAAACAAAGTATATATTAAATATATCTGTAATTATGTTTGCATAGTGCAAAGCAATTGAACACTTTCAGCGCATTTGGCATTTATATCCATTTACTTTTAACCGCCATTTTGACATGTAAATTTGGTGCATCATTTGGAACACGCTTGCCACCCGCTTGAAAACCTGCACCTACGCATGCGCACCCAGTCATCTGAAAAGAGGAATGCTATGTACAGAGCAGCTGTAGTCCGATGAGATTCTATTTGTATGAATGAAGAATTGGATCCCTATGGGACACAAGAGGGGAAATAGGTTTTTTTCAAGATTACGGTTGAAACGATTTAGAGCTAACTTAATACATCACTCCTGGGTAATGGAACTCACTGGCGTATACATTAAATTGTGCCCTTCCCATGGGGTTGGAGAGGCGGTGTCGAAATTAAAAGTAGAGGTAAAATATTTGATAAAGGTAGAGAAAACATATTTAATTTATGCAGTACGAGCATCCATGGACAAAAAAAACCATTGTTGTATTTTATAAACATAGTGCCTTCAGGTGGGGTTAGGGTCAAATATGGAAAATCGGATGGGAGTAAGAATGCTTGTTGTTACAGATGGACCATCCCTTAGCTAAAGATGGCGCCTTGTCTTCTGATTGGGCGATATTTTTTAGTATTTTCTCTCAAAGCTAAATATGTTCAATTGCACCCAAGTAACAAGAGGCCCAATGGCCTTAGCGGTCACCTGAGTTATATCATAAGTACTGGTAGCTTTATTTTATTGTTTAGATGTGATGTGGAAATCAGCATGCAAACTAAGTGAAATACAATACTTGTCATGTCATCAAAGGATAAGAATTTTAAAATATTTGTAAATGTTCCCTTTGAGGCCCCGCTCTAACCCCTGGGGATGGGGCAGGAATTCCAAGTTTACAATGTGATACCGTCATCCACCAAAGATGATTCTGACCATGTAAAAATAATTTCCAACAGAAAATTGTCAAAATATACCCAAAAGTGTTGTTTCCCTAAACTTTAGTAAAATTTACCCACTCCCCAAGGGAGAACGGATAGCTCGGGGGTCCTGAAATTTACAATTCAAATAAGGCCCCTGATGATCTTTCCATCCATGCAGAGAAAATGACTGTAATACCTCTGAGTCTGGAGAAAAAGCTTTTTGAAATATTGGTTAATTTTCCCTTTTGGGCCCCGCCCTGGCCCCTAGGGTTGGGATAGGTATCCCAATTTTACAATTTGGTAGCCTCATCTACCAAGGATGATTCTGACCAAGTTTGAAAAAATTCCATCCACTGGTTCTTGAGAAGAAGTTGATAATGTAAAAAGTTTACGCACGACGGACGACGACGGACGGAAAGTGATTGGAATAGGTCACTTGAGCAAAGCTCAGGTGACCTAAAAATACAAAGGCAGGAAGCAGCTGCTAAATAATAAGTCGATACAGAACGTTTGGTTTGGTTTAGTATTGTTTAACGTCCTATGAACAGCTATGGTCTTTCAAGGACGGCCTCCCCTGCGTGCAAGATGCATGCGTGTAGTGTATGCGTGTGTTTTGGAGGGCTGCGATATGTTCGTGTTCGTCCCTTGTGATAGCGTGGAACTTCCCTGCACGACTGCGTTGTGTTTTAAGGATCCCTGCCCCACTGTTCTATTTGTTATTTTGTCTGAAAAACCCTGTCCTACTGCATTGTGTTTCAAGGATCCCTGTACGACTGCGTTGTGTTTTAAGGACCCTATCCCACTGAGTTGTGTTTTAAGGACCCCTGCCCAATGCGTTGTGTTTAAGGATCCCTGTCTCACTGCGTTGTGTTTTAAGGATCCCTGCCCCACTGCATTGTGTTTCAAGGATCCCTGCCCCACTGCGTTGTGTTTCAAGGATCCCTGCCCCACTGCGTTGTGTTTTAAGGATCCCTGCCCTACTGCGTTGTGTTTTAAAGATCCCTGCCCCACTGCATTGTGTTTTAAGAAACCCTGCCCCACTGCGTTGTGTTTCAAGGAACCCTGCCCACTGCGTTGTGTTTCTTTCCTATATACAGTAACCGCTCCTCAACTTCTGTTTGGATGTAAATGAAGAACAGTTGAGCCAGGACACCTTGTTAAACAGATAGCTCAATCGGTTAGAGCGATAGTATATCAATCTGAAGTCCTGGGTTCGAATCTCGGTTTTAGCCCAACTGATTTTTTTTTCATTCAGATCACTGTTGTTGATTATGTTTTGTTTATTATATCTTAAAGGGGCATCACGGTGAAGTAACTTTTTTTTTGTGTCTTTTTTTTCAAATACTACATAAACATATCAAGTGAGACTCCTTATGGAAAATAACGATCGGATTTGACTGAAATAGATTCATAAAAATGATTAAATCTAAGATAATCATCGGTATTTCTGTCTGTCTGACCAACGTTTTGTTTCGGGATTTCCCTCTACTAGCGCATTCGCATAGCACACCATTCCTTTGTAAACAAAATGACTGGCCGTGTGAAGTAAGCGAAAGAAAAGTGTTGTACCGTGTCAGCTACGAAGCGAAAAGTTGCCAAATGGTCAAAAGATAGCGCAAGGGGTACGTTACGGAATCATCATTGCAGGTGGGAAGTATTCAAAGGAGAAAATAACTGCCCTAGCATTTAGTACGGTGCATGTATTCTTCCGGATAGCCGGTTAAGCTGTAATGGAATCGACAGAAATGCTAGCGCTGTTTATGTTATGAATAAATATCTAAAACTATTAACCTCGCTAGTATCATTGTGTGAGTTTGAACACAGACGAACTTAGTTTGATATGTTAATGGGCATGTATCGGAGAGAGTTTACTTAACTGTTGTGATGGCCACGGCGTATTCTGTTCTCTGATCCAGATACGTGCGCTATTACATTTACATAATTTATAATATTACCAGGATCAGTAAAATAGTATGATTTAATTATATTGCTGAATTAAACGATTTTTTTGATTTTTTTTGACATGCAATATTTAAATTAGTTCTTATATGAATACCCGGCCTCCTCTGGCGCGACAACGCAATATATAAAAAAATCGCTCTTCGTCAAAAAGCTACGTTATCGCAGCTAGATTAAAAATGTCAAAATGACGGACCAGGATGAATAACTGAGGAAGGAGAACCAACCTACTTCTAGTAAATAGGATCGCATAACATTTTTTTATTTAAATCGTAATTTTTCAACAGTTCATGTTTTCATATGATGTTGGCTTAGAATGTATGATCATGTAACAACCTTTTCTCTATAAAGAATAAATTTTCGACTTCAGATAGAATCGGAATACGTATTGAAAACAGGGGAAAAAACATTTGATTACGTTGAAAAAAATTGGCGCGTGCTGCCGATAACTACGGCTTCTGTTTCGGATAAAAGGAACTGATTAAAGTTTGTTTGTTTGTTTGTTTATGTTTAACGGCCCATCGACGACTGTGGTCTTTTAGGGCCATGGTGATTTATTTATTCACTTTACTTTTTTAACAAACATGTGAATAGCGAAGATAAAATCAGATAAAATGGTTCATTTTAAAAGTATTCGCATTGTATGTGTAGATAATTAAAAATAATAAAAGGGGGTTAAAATAATAAAAGAGATAACGAATAGATGATATGGAATATGCGATATATATATAACGTCAAAAAGGATAAGGTGGGTTAAAAGACATCAGAGTCTATAAAATAGACCGATGTCTTTCAAATAGTTAAATAATGCCTTCGAATCCACGGAACTGAAAAGTGTTTTCATATCCGGGACTCGGAAGTAGTTATCACGAATGTGTTTAAAATCGGAACATTCTATTAAAAAATGCTCCACTGTAAATGGAGTGTCACATGCGTGGCATGAAGGTATATCTTCTCGTTTTAAAAGGTACGAATGAGTAGGATATGTGTGCCCAGTGCGGAGCCGAGCGAGGACAACTTCCTCTCTACGATCTTTCCGACTGGGAATAGATGTTTTAAGTTTCGGTTGTATCTTAAAAAGTTTGTTGTTGGTCTCCAGAGACCAGCGTTTCTGCCATTCATTTTGAATGGCTGTACGAATAGTAGGTTTAAAATCTGTGTATGGTAGTTTGATATTTGTTTGTTCGAGATTCAATGCATTTTTTGCTTCCCTGTCAGCAAATTCGTTGCCTTTTATTCCGACATGGCTCGGAATCCATAGTAAAGTTATTTTAGACTTTTTTAATATACGAGATATTCGATGAGCAAGGTTTTGTACGATTGTGTTTTTAGGATCTCGTAACTGTAAACTCTGTAGGACAGATAGAGAGTCTGAACAAATAATTGCCTTTTTAATGCGGTGTTCATCGATATGGTCGAGGGCCAAACCAATGGCGCATGCTTCAGCAGAAAAGATGGAGGCGCCGTCTGGTAGTCGGACTGAAGTGCAAGTATTGGCAGTACAGCAGGCTGCTGCCACTTTCTCACCTTCTTTGGAGCCATCGGTGTAAAGTTGTGTATGAGAAGGGTAATTCGAAATGCATTCCCGAAAGGAGGATTTGTGTTCTTCGGGCATAACACTTGATTTCCCTCGCTCATGTAATGTAAAGTTAAAATCGGGGGTTTGAATGGTCCACGGAGGAACATCAGATATGTTAAATTCAGCTATGTCCGTCAATTTTATGTTGAGTTCTTGCAGGAAATTCAAAATTCGGATACCAAATGTTGGCAGAAGTTTTTGGTTTTGCGTAAATATGTTTTGGTATTTGGGGTTGAATACTTGGTTGAAAGCAGGATTTTTAGGGTTTGATTTTAATTGAGTTGCAAATTGTAATGAAAGTTTTATTCTTCTGTCATAAAGGGATGGTTCATTTGCTTCCACGTACAGGCTTTTTACAGGTGTTGTTCGAAAAGCTCCCAGGGCAAGACGTAGCCCTTGGTTATGGATTGGATCTAGCATCTGAAGGTACGAACTGCGCGCTGACCCGTATACCATAGAACCATAATCCAGTTTTGTTCGAATAAGTGATCTGTATAGGC